CCTGCGACCTGTCGGTCTTCAGTCCTGCCAGCACAGGGGTTTAACCCACTGCGCCACCGGGGGCTCCATCATAATTTAAGATAAGACTGTGGAACTCTGATTAAACCATTATTCTAACCTTCTTCAATGAAAATGTGCTTGCATATCCAATAAAATTATAGTAAAATAATAAATGTAATAATACTAATAACAGAGTAAAATTATGGAAATGTAACAATAACAGTAATAATAGAGTAAAATAATAAATATAATAAAAACAATAATAAAGTAGAATGATCAATGTAACAACAACAATAACAATACATTTATTATGTATTTCAAACAGGGTAAAATAATAAATAACCTTGACTTGAATATAAGCCAAGCAGGACTTTTTCAGCCTAAAAAAAGGGCCAAAAAACCAGGCTTATACTCGAGTATGTACAGTATATTAAAAGTAATCCTGCCTGTTCAAGGCAATTAAAAAATTTAAAAGGCCGGGCCAAGATTTGTGCAAGGTGAACTACAACTCCCAAACTAAAGGTCAATGCCCACCAAATCCTTCCAGGATTTTCTGTTGGTCATGTGAGTTCTGTGTGTCAATTCCATCGTTGGTGGAGTTCAGAATGCTCTTTGACTGTAGGTGAACTATAAATCCCAGATCCGTCATTGTTTAAGGCCACAATGCCCTCTGGACGTAGCTGAACTACAACTCCAAAAATCAAGGTCAATGCCTACTAAACCCTTCCAGTATTTTCTGTTGGTCATGGGAGTTCTGTGTGCCAAGTTTGGCCCAATTCTATCATTGGTGGGGTTCAGAATTCTCTTTGACTTTAGGTGAACTATAAATCCCAGCAACTACAACTCCCAAGTGACAAAATCAAACCCCCCAACCCCACCAGTATTCAGATTTGGGCGTATCGGGTATTTGTGTCAAATTTGGTCCAGTGCATGAAAATGCATCCTGCATATCAGATATTTACATTACAATTCATAACAGTACAAAAATTACAGTTGTGAAGTAGCAATGAAAATGATGTTATGGTTGCGGGGTCCCCACAACATGAGAAACTGTGTTAAGGGGTTGCGGCATTAGGAAGGTTGAGAAACACTGCCATAGACTATCTTTAGCCAGGAAAAGAGGTTTAGACTGACAGCGCTCTCTGTTCTGTCGCTCCTCAGTGGTATCGTCCATGAGTTCGCTAAAGGGTTTTTGTAGCTATCGCTAAATACGAAAACGATGCCAGTCATTGTAAGCTGCTTAACGCTATTGTTATCTCATCTGTTTTGCCTCTTCTCATAAAAACAGGAAAGAACCGGCGGCTGAAGCAAGCGAAAGAAGAAGCCCAAGCTGAAATCGAGCAGTATCGCTTACAGAGGGAGAAGGAATTCAAAGCAAAAGAGGAAGCAGTGAGTTACAATTAATGTCAACTAACAGTTGTTTTCATTTCGATCCTGTTGGCTTGTAGAATTGCAGAGTGATTTATTTATTTACTTACAGTATTTATATACCGCTTTTCTCACCCCTCGGGGGACTCAAAGCGGTTTACATATCGATAATGGCAAAGGTCAAGAGCGAGGGAGCAGATCTTACCTCCTTTGGGAGTGTGTTCCATAGACGGGGGGCCACAGCCGAAAAGGCCCTGCTCCTCGTCCCCACCAGCCGCATTGGTGCTGTTGACGGGAGCGAGAGCAGGGCCTCCCCGGATGATCTTTAATTGCGAGATGGGACGTAGAGGCAGATGTGTTTGGACAAGTAAGCTGGGCCTGAACCATATAGAGGTTTATAGGTTAAAACCAGCACTTTGAATTGGGCTCGGAGATGGACTGGCAGCCAGTGGAGCTGGCATAGCGGGGGGGTGGTATGCACCCTGTATGCCACCCCAGTTAGTAATCTGGCTGCCGCCCGTTGAACTAACTGAAGTTTCCGAACCGTCTTCAAAGGCAAGAGCACTTTTGCAAACAGCTGCACTCCATAGATCCCAATTTCAAGTGTCCATATTCCTTGGGGAGAATGAAGGATAATTTTGTCACCATGCCGGCACCTCCTTGGGCTATTTTACGTCAAGTAGGGTTATTTGGAGGGATTCCTAACAGGCCATGGAGGGTACTACATTATGCATATTTTATTGCATAATGGTCATCACCATGTAATAGTCACATCCCACATTTATGGGGTGGTAAAATCGGTATTTTTTATCTTTTATATGTTTCTGTTTGCATTGATACTATTTTGTAAGCCTCTCAAGTTCCTAGGGATGATGTAGAGCTAAAATTTAGGGGTCTTTGCCAGGAGGCAGAGACCAATTAGACTCATCAAAGAGTTCTTTTCCCTGGCGAGACAGAGAAGCATCCCATATTTTCCCCTGATTTCCCAATGAAAGGTCTCACCAAGTTGAAGAAAAGCCATAGAGGTTTTATTTGCGATTCAGCTGAAAAGGATGCTGAGCTGCAATCATTCGCCAGCAGAGCATGAGGAGAGTACACTAATACAGTCATATTTATAGTGAATTCAAAGTTGCAGAGTTCAAACTCCCCGCCCCGGCTTCCCTGTTGTTCCCCGCCATGATTGGGCGATGGACGAACAGCTGGGAGGCGGCCCTCCCGCCCCCGGTGCCTCTGGACCAATCAGGAAGCTCCGTAGAGTCCAATGGGGAGACCTCTGCCACCTGGTGGCAACAGCAAATCAGGAGAGAGGGAGGCGAGATAAGAGAGCACAAAGGAATCTGGGAAGGAGTCTCTAAACAAAGGAAATGCCATGTGGCCTGAGACAAAAAGCTCAAACAGGGCCGATCTATTGTGTTCATGAGTGTTGTGAATCAACATGTGTAAAAATATCCAGATCCTTCCTGGCTGTGAGACAGGAGAACAATGATGGCAGCCTGAGGTTAATGCTATCAATGGGAAGTAAACAAAAGCAGAGGGGAAGATTTCCCCTTATCTTACTTGAAGAGTGATAGAAACTTTGCCAAACAATTCTTTACTCTAGTGGGCCATCTCCGATGCTAGAGATAAGAATCTCCTTCTTTTATCCATGCAAGTGTGTCTTTGGCGGGAGGTTTCAGTAATCGCTAATGGCTTTTGTTTCTGAAGGCCAGGGGGTTCCCTTACATATTTCTTTGGAAGGAGAAGGAGCAAAAGGTCAGGAATGCAAGGAAACAAAAAACATATAGAAATTATACACAGGGAAATCATATGCAGGTATCTTCCCATCCAGGGCCCCAAAGAGAAATTAATAATACCAATTATAAAAAGCAGACGATATCAGGACACAGCATGAATTCATAAGTTGTCTTGAAGAAGTTCATGGGTAGAGAGCGAGTCCTTGAAGAGAGTGAAGTCCAGGAATGTAGCAGAATTCAAAAAGCCACCAAAGGGAGTCTATGGAGTTCCACTGGGCCAAGACACAAAGCCCTGCAGCGCTGGGATGGAAGCCGGTCCCATGGTCCTTGGAAAACTACAGCTCTCGAGAGAGAGGCAGAGACCCCAAGGTCTAGCCATTCCCGAAGTTTCATGGGGTCCTCATTGTTGTTAGGGTCTTGGCAAATTGACCAAGAATCATAGAATCATAGAATCAAAGAGTTGGAAGAGACCTCATGGGCCATCCAGTCCAACCCCCTGCCAAGAAACGGGAATATTGCATTCAAATCACCCCTGACAATGGCCATCCAGCCTCTGCTTAAAAGCTTCCAAAGAAGGAGCCTCCACCACACTCCGGGGCAGAGAGTTCCACTGCTGAACGGCTCTCACAGTCAGGAAGTTCTTCCTCATGTTCAGATGGAATCGCCTCTCTTGTAGTTTGAAGCCATTGTTCCGCGTCCTAGTCTCCAAGGAAGCAGAAAACAAGCTTGCTCCCTCCTCCCTGTGACTTCCTCTCACATATTTATACATGGCTATCATATCTCCTCTCAGCCTTCTCTTCTTCAGGCTAAACATGCCCAGCTCCTTAAGCTGCTCCTCATAGGGCTTGTTCTCCAGACCCTTGATCATTTTAGTCGCCTCCTCTGGACACATTCCAGCTTGTCAATATCTCTCTTGAATTGTGGTGCCCAGAATTGGACACAATATTCCAGGTGTGGTCTTTAACCCCTATTGTGCAGTCTGGTACCCTTGTCCTTTGCAGAACTATAAGTTACCATCCCTTGTTAGAGGGGGGGGGCATGCTCGACTTCAGGGAGATGGGGCGGGGTGTAAGTAAAATTGTTACTCTTATTATAATAATTTATATGTTCCTCACATAATAGTCGCAGAACCACTTGAGACTGATTCCCCTTCCTCCTTTCTTTGAAGGAATAGTAGCTTAAAGACTATGAAATGTGGGCCTCTGGAGCTTCACCCTTCCTCCAAAGAGCTCCATTTCAGATATGGAAGGAAGGGAGGGGGAACCTTCCCTAATCGTTCCTCTGAGGCAAACCAGGTTAAAGAACAAACAAACAGAAACTGAGCTGTTTGTTTGAGGCTGGATCATCCCTCCTCCTCCTTCCTTTTTGGAGGAGTTTAATTTTTTAGGGAAAAAAACAACAAAACAGGAACCACAGAATCAAAGGCAGTGATGTGAGATTGTTAGAGGTAAATATGTGGCTGGTTATGGTGATCACACCACAATGTGTGTGATAAGTGTAGCATTAATAGGTACTGCAGAGCCATTTCAATCCTGGAAGATTTGCCAAACAGATTTTTTTCTAGTGCAGACAAGCATCGCATAATAGTCGCACCACTTTTTTTAAAAAAGGGATTAAAGGTGTAACTTGTACAATGAAATACACTATATCAACACCAACAACAATTTTTATTGATTAGCCCGTTGGCCTAATCAAAACAAACAGTGCCAACACAAAAAACAAAATACACTATATCACTGAATTTCTACTTTGGGCTACAGTAGACTGCACCATGTAACAAAATATGAAAAAGAAAATCTGTTCCTGGTCTGAAAGTGTTATTTCCTGTTTAATTGTGTGATCGTTACTTGGAAAGTCGTTATTCTACTCCAGAAACTTTGTTTTTGTGGCTGCCACAAACTAAGTTGAATTGGCTGAGACTTGATGAGATGTTCATTGAAAAAATAGAGAAACATGTGTTGTGGGATGTTCTGCAGAAACTAAAGTTTTGGCACTTTTCCCGTATTTTTTATGATAGAACCAGTAAAATGTCCGATTTTATACTGCTGTCTTGCTTATTATATTGGTTTTGCATTTTATGTTTTTATGTTTTAGTTTCATTATGCTTTCGTGTTTTATTGTGTCATGTTTTTGTGTAATATTGTGTTTACTGTACTGATGGCCGTGGCCTCATGTAAGCCGCCCCGAGTCCCCCTGGGGGAGATGGAGCGGGATATAAATAAAATATTATTATTATTATTATTATTATTTATTATTATTATTATTATTAGGAAATGACATTTATAATCAGGAACAAATTTGTGTTACATAGTGTTGTTTCTCACACTATGTGGGGCCAGAAGGACTTCTCCAGATGTCCTTACAATTTGAATCGACTCGGTATGAGGTGCTTATTATATTGGTTTTGCATTTTATGTTTTTATTTTTTAGTTCTGTTATGCTTTTGTGTTATATTGTGTTACGATTTTGTGTAATATTGTGTTTCCTGTACTGATGGGTGTAGCCTCATGTAAGCCGCCCCGAGTCCCCTAGGAGAGATGGAGTTGGGTCAGAGGCGGCCCAAGGCAATAAGCAAATTATGCTTTTGCGTAGAGCGCCCATCTGGGGGGGGGGGCGCTCTTGAGGATCTCCCACGCATGGCTTTGCGATTTTCGAGAGGCCTGGCTAGGAAGGAGTGCTGCTTAGGCCGCATTCCTTCCGAGCCAGGCCTCGCAATTCTCGTGTCTTCTCCCGCGAGACAACGTTGTTTGGGCCTGTGCAAAGAAGGCAGGAAGGATGGGGAGCCTGCCCGGGAGACCTCCATGAGCAAGTCAGGTAATTTTATTGTTATTTTATTTTATTTTAATTTTATACCCAGGGTACTAGACGACCCCCAAAATTTTCTAAGGTTTTACTTGCAGTTTCTCAAGTTGCTCCCGACACGGTGTGTGTGTGTGTGTGTGTGTGTGTGTGTGTATATATATATATATATATATATATATATATATATATATATATATATATAGTGATTGGTTGGGGGGGCGCTAAAATACTGTTTGCTTACCATTGAAAATTACCTAGGGCCACCTCTGAGCGCGGTATAAATAAGGTATTATTATTATTATTACTATTATTATTATTATTATTATTATTATTATTATTATTTAGGAAATGACATTTATAATCCAGGAATAAATTTGTGTTACATAGTGTTGTTTCTCACACTATGTGGGGCCAGAAGGACTTCTCCAGATGTCCTTACAATTTGAATCGACTCGGTATGAGGTGCTGTTTCCGAATCTGAAGCCGTTCAGAGCTTGATGCATGTGCCGTTTTCTCTCAGGCTCTGGGGTCCCATGGCAGCTCCACCACCGAAGTGGAAAAAGAGACCCAGGAGAAGATGGTTGTGCTCCAGAGCAACTTCCAGAAGAACCGAGAAGAAGTCCTCAACAGCCTGCTGAACCTCGTCTGCGATATCAAGCCGGAGATCCATTTGAACTACCGCATCAATGGATAGAAGAGCGTCTCAGCCTTTAGGGAGCATTAAGCAATACCAACTCCAACTCTTCCCCTTCGAGCTTAACTTATTTCCAAGAGTTGTAGATATTCTTAATCTCCTCCCTAAGCAAAAATGCTCCTTTTGTTTCTTTAGACCCTTTATTTTGTCCCCAAAGTGCTTTATAGTAGAAGATTACGTTCGGGACGCTTTGCAATAAGTATTAAACCAACATGCTGTCCTAAGTATTTGAATGAAGGAAGGAAATGTGAAGGCAGGCCTTCTTCTGCGTACCTCTATGAATCGGGTCCAAAGAACACCTCCCTCTACCTCACTTTGTAGGAAAAGTGGTGGAGGTTGAATTCATTCGTTGTGGATCTGGCTTGCGAAAGGAGTGGTTTTGAAATAGCTTCTGTTGAAAAACAACCAGCCTCTTTGTATACCTTTCCTGTTTAACTTGAACTAGAAACCTGCCCTTGATGGTGCTTCTCGAAAAGTAAAAGATCTGATTTCACCCACCGTTGGATGGAAATGGCTTTTTATTTTCTCGAAGGCTTTCATGGCTGGAATCACTGGGTTGTTGTAGGTTTTTTGGGCTATATGGCCATGTTTTAGAAGCATTCTGCATTCTCTCCTGACGTCACAACCTCTGAGGATGCTTGCCTAGATGCAGGCGAAATGTCAGGAGAGAATGCTTCTAGAACATGGCCATATAGCCCAAAAAACCTACAATGACCCAAATGGTTGGAGTTAGGCAACCAAAGAACCAAGAAAAAAGCCATTTGGGTCGTTGTAGGTTTTTTGGGCTATATGGCCATGTTGTAGAAGCATTCTCTCCTGATGTCACAACCTCTGAGGATGCTTGCCATAGATGCAGGCAAAACATCAGGAGAGAATGCTTCTAGAACATGGACATATAGCCCAAAAAACCTACAACGACCCAAATGGTTGGAGTTGGGCAACCAGAGAACCAAGAAAAAAGCCATTTGGGTCGTTGTAGGTTTTTTCGGCTATATGGCCATGCTCTAGAAGCATTCTCTCCTGACGTCACAACCTCTGAGGATGCTTGCCATAGATGCAGGCAAAACGTTAGGAGAGAATGCTTCTAGAACATGGCTATATTGCCCAAAAAACCTACAACGACCCAAATGGCTTTTTTCTTGGTTCTCTGGTTGCCCAACTCCAACCATCTGTCACTGATTCTTCAATCATAAGCATTGGAATAGTGATGACGACAACAACAATAACACAAGCCAACAAAATCACACTTTTGGTAATCAGAAATGAGAATAGCACTGTTTAAATCCATTTACACAGGGTGGAAGAGAAGGATGGAAGGAAGGGTGATAGGGAATGGAGGGAAGGAGGGAGGGAGGAAAGAAGAGAATGAAGGAACGACAATTATTTATTATTATTATTATTTCCGGTATTTCTCTCCTGTTCCTTCTCAACTCTCGAAGGGAGACTTAGGGCGGCTTACATTTGGCAGCAATTCGATGCCACTTCATATAACAAAGCGATATAATAACAATTAAAACAGTAAGTAAAAAATTCATTGAAATAGTAAAAAATAAAAATAGCCATGCCACCATTCCAGTCAATTCCATATCCATCCATGTCCAACGTGCTATCCATGTCCAAAGTGCTATCTATGTCTGTTGTCCAAAAGCTTGGTTCCAGAACCACGACTTCAATGTCTTCCTAAATGACAGGAGGGATGGAGCCAATCTTACCTCAGTGGGAAGCGAGTTCCGCAGGCGGGGGGCCACAGCTGAGAAGGCCCTGTCTCTCCCCGCCAGATGTATTTGTGATGCTGGTGGGAGTGAGAGCAGGGTCTACCTGGATGATCTTAAACTGCGAGGCGGGACGTAGAGGGAGATGCGTTTGGATAAGTAAGCCAAGAGGGAAGGAAGGAGAACAAGAAAGGGAAGGGGAGAGGAAAGAGGGAAAGAAGGAAGGATGAAAGGATGGAAAGGAAGGAGGGAGGGGGAAGAAGTGAAGGAAGGGAGGGAAGGAGAAGGAAAGATAGGATAGGATGGTGTAAGAGGAGGGCCTAAGAAAAGATCCCAAGGTGCCGCATCCGCCCCCCCCCCCCCCGGGCCTGGGTTTGCCCATACCTGCTCTGGATGCATCATTGGTGGGGTTCAGGGTGCTCTCTGGCAGCAGGAAAAACTACAACTCCCACTATGGTGAGCCAATCCCCTCAAACCCCTCCAGTAGGTTGAGTTATTCATGGGGGTTCTGTGTGCCAAGTTTGATCCGGGTCCATCATCGTTGGAGGTCACAGCTGCTCTGGTTGTGGGTGAACTACAACTCCCAGAAAGGAAAGTCAGTTTCTCTCAAACCCCTCCAGTAATCAACTTTCAACATATCAAGTATGTGTGCCAAGTTTGGTCCAGATCCATCAGTGTTTGGGTTCACAGTGCTCTCTGGATGTAGGTGAACTAGAACTCCCCCAAATCAAGGTGAATTTTCCCCAAAGACCTCCAATATTTTTTGCTGGTCATGGGGGCTCTGTATGCCAAGTTTGGTCCAATTCCATCTTTGGTGGAATTCAGAGTGCTCCTTGATTGCAGGTGAACTATAAATCTCAGTACCTACAACTGCAAAGTGTCCAGGCCAGACCTACAACTGCAAAGTGTCCCCCAAACCCCTCCAGTAATCAACTTATATCAAGTGTATGTGCCAAGTTTGGTCCAGATCCATCAGTGTTTGTGTTCACAGTGCTCTCTGGATGTAGGTGAACTAGAACTCCCCCAAATCAAGGTGAATTTCCCCCAAAGACCTCCAGTATTTTTTGCTGGTCATGGGGGCTCTGTGTGCCAAGTTTGGTCCAGTTCCATCTTTGGTGGAGTTCAGAGTACTCATTGCAGGTGAACTATAAATCCCAGTACCTATAACTGCAAAGTGTCCAGGCCAATTCCCCTCAAAACCCACTAGTATTCAATTTAGGGTATATCAGGTATGCATGCCAAGTATGGTACAGATCCATCATTGTTTGGGTGAACTGCTCTCTGGATGTAGGTGAACTACAACTCCAAAGACCTCCAGTATTTTTTTGTTGGTCATGTGGGCTTTTGTGCCATGATAGTTCCAGGTCAATTATTGGTGAAGTTCAGAGTGCAGTTCTTAGATTGCAGGTGAGCAATACATCCCAGGACCTACAACTCCTATAAATCTGGGTGAATTCTCCCCAAACTTCTCTAGTATGTTCAGTTGGCGATCAATTCCTGTTTGCTGTGTACCATAGAAAAGAATAGGAAAGCGTTAAGGGAGAGGCAGTGGGCGGGGTTATGCAAATTCCACACCAATGGAGAGAGTCAGAAACACTGGGATGTCTGTGGTGGAGGAAACACATAAAATCTAGGATGAAATTGTCCCCGTATGAAAGTCTTCACTTGGGTGGTGGGCAGTATAGTGTTTGTGTCAGTCAGTTTGGGAGTCAAACACTGGGATGTCTGTGGTGGAGGAAACACATAAAATCTAGGATGAAATTGTCCCCGTATGAAAGTCTTCACTTGGGTGGTGGGCAGTATAGTGTTTGTGTCAGTCAGTTTGGGAGTCAAACACTGGGATGTCTGTGGTGGGGGAAACACATAAAATCTAGGATGAAATTGTCCCCGTATGAAAGTCTTCACTTGGGTGGTGGGCAGTATAGTGTTTGTGGATGACATTGACAGGGCTCTTGGACATGTTCCCAACGCTCACTATAACCTGCAATGGAAGGAAGACAGAGAATCCTTTATGTGAAGCCTATTCTCTTTCGCTTCTGCTGTTGCCATTGCTCAACATTGGCATGCGAAGCCACTAATTAAATGGATTTTTAAACCAAATTACATTGTGCAACGTCATCAGGGAAAGGACCTCTTTGACTCAGTGTCACTGCTGTAATCTAGGCTTTTCTTTGTGCTCAGTGTTCTGATTTGATTTTTAATTTTCCCGGCCTGAATTGAATGAAATTGCGAGCCATTTTCTCTTTAATTAGACCGGGCTCGGTGACAATCGGTCACAGAAAAAACCGAGAACAACACATATTCTTATAATAGCTCCTAATTTGAGTGTGTAATCTGTTTTAAGCAGATTTCCGTCTCCCTTCAAAGCCCCGGGGCAAATTGCAATTATATTTCCTAATCTCATTTTCCCGCTGTAATAAACTTCATGGCATTGAATAAGGAGAAAGGGAGGATGTAATTTCAAATATATTCAAGCCGCAATGGTGCATTCTTCAAACTGGACCTTTCTCACCCCGCATGTCGGAACCCAGAAGCCTTAAAGAGCCGGACTCAGGAGTATGTCCAAAAGAAACAGTTTACTGAATCAAACAGAAGGACTCCGAGACACTTACTTCAGTGCCTCTGGTCAAAACGCAAAAAGTAGCTGCAAAGATTAGCTCAAAAAACAAATTTAGGAAATAATCCGGATTAAACAGAGATATAATCCGGAATATTATTTATTTATTTATTGTGTCATCAGCAACCATTGTATCACAATTCTAACAGAGCAAAACAAACATACAGTCTAGGATTTGTGTTCACAGATCATAATTGACAGAAACACTCCGTTGTGTTGCGCGATGTTGGGGTATGTGCGCTGGATCTACATTCGTGTATTGGGGACTCAGTATATAGGGGTCTTGGAGGTGCCTCGGGTTCCGGGCATGAGGGCCGTCACCAGGGGCATGTTGCAGGCTCAGTTGCAGTGCGCAGGGGCAGGGGGGGGTTCGCGCTCCTGACTCGGCAGCCGAACTTCCACCCTTGGCCCCATGGCCGTAAGAGGGCGATGCAGCTTCGTGGGGGCAGAGTGAGACGGGGGTCCGCCTGCCAAGGAAGCCCATCTTCTGAGGACGGGGCGCCTCATCTGGTTCACACCTGATTGAGGGCTGCTGGGCTGCCACGGTTGACGCGTGCTGCTGGGGGTAACAGGTCGCTTAACTAGAACTGGTCTTGAGGTTAGGTCGTGTGACGCTGGCGTATCAAACGGGTGACTTGGGAGGTCTTCTGCCCTGGCCTTTCCTATGCTGGCCTACTTCCCGGCGGGTCAGTGGTTTATACCGCTAAGCGTAGTGCTCCAGTGGTGGGGGCGCAGACACCGGTGGATAGCGGCTGTCCTCATATCGGTGACCACGATCGCTACTTTTTATAGAAGTGGTGAATGTGGTCCACACGGGCATTTGCATACTCAGCGCCGAGTAGCAGGCCAAGGGCGGTGTCGTCCTGTGGCGGCTGTGTGAGCCCTCAGGTTGCCAGTCGCTTGTCGTAGGATGTGTGCGAGAGCCTAACGTTTGTTGATGGGAAGCAGTGCTGTTCTGGGGAAGTCATAGCACAGGGCCCAACATGTACTCGTCCAGTATGGTGTGTGCAATGCACTCCCAGGGGGATTTCCTTCCAGCTATCCGCTAGAGCTCGGGAGGCTTAGCGGGCTGGTAGGAAAGGCATGGCGGGGTTAGAGTGGTTAGGGGATCAGTGTGTGGGGGTCCATGGATATGGCCAGGAGTTGCTGACCTAGATTCTGACTAGTAG